AAGGTATTAAGGTTGTCTCTCACTCTAATTGATTAATTAAAATAAGAAGTTGCTAAAGTAACATCTTTTGTGTAGATTGTTCATGAAGAATGTGAGATGTTTGTGTGTATGCTTTCGTGTAAATATTTAATCAGCCCAAAGGAAGGTTAATATTTATTTAGACAGTATACACATCTGTGATGATAAACGTGTGACAATTATAAGGTTTACATGTGAATAATAAATCAATCCAAAGATAGTTTCATTATTAGATAGTTTCATTATTTGTCATGAGTTATTGTCAATGTTTGATCAATGCAACAAGGTATCAATTACAAGTTATAATATTACTGTCCAAAGACTTGATATTAATGTTGTGCCAGATATTAATATTGGATTTAAATCTAATTAAATCTATTTGTGGGCACATATGATTAATCTGTGTGTATTGCTATCCTTTAGGATAATCCGATTAATATTACTGTCAATGTTTTGGGTATGAACGTCATGCAAATACTGTATAGCGGTAGGCACCACAACTCATAGCAAAATCAATGTGTATTTGTTGTTTACAAACTCCAAGCCATGGTATTAAACATGCCTTAAAAAATATTCGTTCTTTGCATGCTAAGGCTCACAGCCGCAAACAAAGATGTAAATTCATCTATTGTATTAGAAGATATTCAATGCCTATGCATGTGTATTTAAGAAGAGGATATAATAAAACAATCAATTCTCAAGACGAAAAAAATAAAAAACTATTAACAAAAGGCATCCTTACTTTCATGCTAACATTGCTAATTATCTTTCAACACGATAAAATTAGGTATCTTTTACCCGATAACCTTGCAAATTGTCTCAGACAAGAAAATAGCTTGCAGACCAAACGCAATTCAACAGCTACGCACATTTCAGTTAAAATAAAGCATGCCAACGAAAATGCACTTCATTAGCATCTGTACACTTTAACATTGTATGTCATCAAACCATGTTTTCCTGTACACATTGAATAGAATCAATTTCTTGGCTATATTTCCATTCAGCACTGCTCATTGACACAGCAGAAGTTAGCCCATATTGGCTACAAACTTGAACCATGGTGTATTCACAAATTCAGCGAATCAATTTTCAAACAGATGACCATTACTATACATACATTGTGGAAAAATGTTTTAGCCTTTTCAGTCCCTGCAGCTAGAACAAATGCTGAAGATGTGGGTTATTTCTCTGCCTGAGCCTCAGCCCAGCATTTGCTTCTTGCTCAAGATGCATCAATCCAGCTGGAGGGTTAAAGTCGCCTTGTATTTAAGAATAATTGCAGGTTGTTAATTACGCTTATCGACCGAGTCTTTGACGAAATTATGCAATCTCCTGCCAATAAGATATCGGTCGTCTCTAATGGAGTTGTGGAGATTAATGAACCAAACACGGAACCTCTTAGCACAGAAGAACATCACGCTGAAGAGAAGGCAACCGAGCTAATCAAATCGATAGACCGCGAAGTTAATGATCAATGGATAGCCAAGCACAGGAATAGACATCTGGCAAATACATAGGGAACGAAAAGTATAGTCAGAAGCTTCAAGATGATAGGGATTACAATCTCATGGAGGACCCAAAGACCCCTTAGATCCGAGAAGCCATTTTACTTAACTCTCTCGAACTTTGCCCTCCAGCTTTCGTTAAACAGTGGTGCCATTTGATCAAGCATAACCTTTTCCAAAAGATTGAACACAAAATGATCCATTAATTCATAAATATTTATCTGATTGAAAAATTAAATGTTTTTTAGTGTTAACAAAAATGATTGTCTGTCTATTCTCTGACATATTTTTAAGGATAGAGCTAACAAACCTTAAAAATAAAATAATAATTTAACTATGTAATGTTTAAATCCTAAAATCGTAATGTCCAAGTCTACAGATTTCATAAAACATATTTTTTGGACCTGCACATCATGATGAACAGTTTGGATTTCAAATTTTAATAGACTTGAGATCACACACTATAGAATTTGATGTCAGCCGCTAAATGCATAGGATAATCAATCAAAGCATTCATGAATTATGTTGATTGCAACCAACAGAGCAATTCAATTCGGATGGTCAATAATACAACAGTTTGGGTTAATAAGCTTAAAACTCCATGTTCAAATAAATATTCAATAGGATATTGTCAACATATATTAAACTTCGATGTCATAAGCCATAGAATACTGAAGGGCTAGGAAAATTACAAATTTCAATATATTGAAAGGCCACAATTTTTTAATATATTTAACTTTGGATCTTTTAACTAAAAGGCCATAATTTTTCATGGTTGTTTCTTTACTATCTTTTTACTTTTAGATGAATAATAGAAAACTCATTTTTGTTTGTTTTAAGTCAAATAATTTACATTGTCTTTGATATAATCATCAAATTTCAATATAATAATCATGAATAGGTTTATTTAATGATAGGAGTAATGGTAAGGTTCTGTTATTATATTTTTAACATACAAATTAACTTCAAAAAAGTTCATTGGGTTGTTCATATGTTGGCTATATTGTTTACATTTAATAAATTTATACGAAATCTTTCTCTAAATAAAATTATAATTTAAAATAATATTAAGAAATTTACCACGTGCATTGCACGTGCAATCCAACTAGTCTCTTAAAATATTGAAGTGGGACCTGAAGTGGCCCATAAGGCTGTAGAGCTCCTTGAAGGTAAGATAACATCTGTTGTTATTTGACATGGTTTTCATCCAAATGTAAATTTCTAAGTTGTCAGGGTTCAACATATGGCTTCAAGTTTATCTGCGTGCTTTTGTAAGAAATACACAGCCAATTCTTACCTGGAGCTTTAAGAGGCTTTTTACAGTATGGTTAAATTTATAAGGCTGTAGAGCTCCTTGAAGGTAAGATAACATCTGTTGTTATTTGACATGGTTTTCATCCAAATGTAAATTTCTAAGTTGTCAGGGTTCAACATATGGCTTCAAGTTTATCTGCGTGCTTTTGTAAGAAATACACAGCCAATTTTTGATTAATTTGGAAAAGCTCGAGTTATATCCCATTGACATTCATTATGGATGCAACATTCCTTACTAATCTGTTGGGCAATTAAAGGAATGAAGAATGAGAATAGCAAAAATGAGAATGTTATAACGGACTCTTGGAGATATACTATGAGATAAGATAAGAAATAAATACAGTCATAAGAGGTTAGACGTTGTTCATATTGAGTATAGTACGAGAAAATCAATTAAGATAGTTTAGTCATGTGCGATGGAGGTCACAAAATGTGTCAATCAGGACAAGAAGTAAAAGGTTATAATTGATGAAGCAAATATTAGAGATGATCTAAGAGAACAAGTCATTGATACTAAGGTGGTGTTTGGTTAAATTTCTACAAATTATAGGAAATGTTTTCCATCCAAAATATGATTTCCTTGTATTTCTTAAAAAAATTATAGGAAAAGTTTTGAGAAGTAAAAAAGTATCAATTTTCTTATTTTTTTTTACTTTGCTTGTTTGGTTAAAACAAGAAAATGACTCATAACTTTATAGAAAATAGCAAGAATTTCTATAATTTGTAGAAATTGATCCAAACACCCCCTAAATTTATAGAAAAGTGTCAATGTGATGTCAGATTTCTGGATGGTTTCTGACCATTTTGAGAGGAAATTGATTTCTGTAAATTTTGGTATTTTTTTGTACTTTACAGAAAACATTTCTGTAATTTTTTTTGAACCAAACACAGTTACGGAAATCGTCCGTCCCCAAGACATTCCTTTCTCTCGTCCGTCCCCAAGCGATTGTCCTCCCAACGAAACGCCGGAGCCGCCGCGTCTCCTCTTCAGGTAAAATTTTAAATTTTTATTTAAAAAAAACTTTAAACTGTTTTTTTAACTTATTCACTGTTTTTATGTAGGTAATAATGACCTTGTTCAATTCTACTTTAATTTTGTTCGTCCGTCCCCAAGACATTCCTTTCTCTCGTCCGTCCCCAAGCGATTGTCCTCCCAACGAAACGCCGGAGCCGCCGCGTCTCCTCTTCAGGTAAAATTTTAAATTTTTATTTAAAAAAAACTTTAAACTGTTTTTTTAACTTATTCACTGTTTTTATGTAGGTAATAATGACCTTGTTCAATTCTACTTTAATTTTGTATGAAGAGAACACTAAATAGTTAATCTTGTTGAATTCTTTTTTTTTTTGCAATTTTATATGAATTTAATACATATTTTTGTGAATTATTATAATTAAATAAATTAAAAAATTGGCAAACGTCTAGACGCTAGCCCCGGCTTGAACACCTAGTCCTCTTAGCGTCTTCTGTAACATTGATTCTATAACATTGATTGGTACTTACTAGAAGATCAAATTTTATGAGGTTTATTAATAGAACAAATTTTCGAATTAAACCCATTTAATTTTTTATATTATAAAATTCGACTCATTCAAGTTTTTATTATCAAAACCGACCCATTCCGTGCCACGTCAGCAGCGTAGCCATGAAATGGATCGGTTTTTTTTAAATGACGCCGCTAAATAGTCGGGGTTACCAACCCCGACTATTTAGTTATGTCGGGGGTGGCAACCCCGACTATTTAGCTATGGACAAGCTAAAATAGTTGGGGTTTCCAGCCCCGACTAATTTAGGCCCTCTCTAATTGGTCGGGGTTGGCAACCCCGACCATTTGGCAGAGAGGTAGCTGATGTTTATTTTGCTATGACAAAATGGTCGGGTTTGGAAACCCCAACCTTTTCGTGTTCGTGCACAAAATGGTCGGGGTTCCCAACCCAGACCATTTGGCAGACTCTTTCAGCTGGAAATACGAACTCCGCTGGAAATTCAAACTCCTGCTGTTACATATCAATCCATAATGCAATCACAATCACAATAACACACATACCAATTAATAATCTCAAATAAACATCCATAATCAATCGGATACATACCATGTAATTCACATACTAATAATCAATACTCAATCGAATATATAATATTTAGTTTCAAATGCAAACATCCTATCAATACTCAATCAGATACATAATATCCAGTTCCAATCGGATACAACTCCCTCTCCCTCTCCCCCTCCCTCTCCCCCTGACACGTTCACCTTCGACGTGAGCTCGGATCAGTTCCTCATCCGGTTGTGTGTGAAGTTTGGAGTGCATGACATCCTCATCGACTCGAACCGACTGTGAACATCCGGCTTGGGCCTGCTGTGAGCCGCCAGCTTCATCATGTGCACCGCTTGAGCCTGCCCCTGTGTGTCCTCGGAACCGGCGACGACCGTACTCAATTGGTCGCTCCTCACGTCCATCTCGTCTTGCATTACGCGTCCTTTGAAGAGCGGACCGAATCTTTTTGATCATGCGAAGGAACGTGTTCCTCGGCCCTGGCTCGGTAGTCGTTCGGATTGCATCATGCGCCATAGTAGAAAGTTCTTCGAGCTCTTGTACCTATACGATAAAAACCCCAAGAAAGCTATTATGATTTGAATGATAATAAAATAAAACTCACAAGATAACTGTATATTTTGCTTATACACTTACCAACTCTCTCTCAACTGGGCCTCTTGGTATGTATTCCTTAGGGGCTTTGTTCTCCTGAAATATCCACCGGCGAGTAATCCCCCAATACCACCGCAAATACACACCTAGGTCAGGTGCGTCAACCCTCTCCATCACCAACTGTTCTTCCCTATTATCCCACCTCCCGATGTAAGCACTATGAATATGTTCCCAATCTTGACGATGTGCACCTTTTCTGGGATTTCTCTCTATTATCTCCACAGGGCCCGGGATATGTTGTTGTAGCCTAAATTGTTGGAGCACACGATCGGGCACGTGCATCTCGACAATCTCAAAACATATGATCGGGACGCGAGCACGCCACACATCCGACTCGTATTTGTACCCCTAAATTGCTTGGTCGTAACCGCTATAACATGTGCACATGGTAATTTTTGCAATTCGGGAATGTTACATGTGCATGCGCATTGTGTCTCTCGTAGATTGACGGTGTAATTATGACCGTGATTATCTGTATCCTCTCATTCATCTATAGCAAATTTCACAATCTTAGTCAATCTGGCCTGCTTGACACGAGCTCCTATAATCTCTTCATTTTTGGGGGTCAACAACGTCCCCCACTTTGCTCCATCCTTTCGTCGCTTGACAAAATACTTATTTAGTCTATAAAATGTCCTCACAACCAACGCCTGTATGGGCATTGCTCGAGCCCCCTTAAGTACACCATTGAAGCTTTTAGAACAATTAGTTGTCATCATGCAATAGCGATTCCCTCTATCTTTACTTAGTACCCACCGGTCGACGTAATCGCTTCCCAAACTACTCTCAATCTAATCATGTGCAGCTGGAGATGTTGCCTTGATTTGATCCTGTAGCGACAAGCAATACACCCTTATATTTACCGTATAAGTGTGTCCCATCAATGTTAAGGATCGGCCGACAAAATTTAAATCCCTCGATCGAAGGACCAAATACCCAAAATACATAGGGGAATTTATGAACTCCCGGATTGACCTCTTTGGTTATGAGTTTGTATTCAGATCCAGGATTGCTTCTTTTGATCGCATCAAGATATTGAGGCAGAGTCGCGTAAGACTTCTCCCAATCACCAAATATTTTTGTCATCGCAATTCTCCTTGCATTCCACACTTTGATATACAATATTTTAATCCACTTATCATGTGACACTCTCAATTATTCATCGGGCTTTAGTTCAAGCTTCTTCTTTAATCTTGGCATAATCAACCGAGCTATGTAAGAGGCGAAGGCACCACTGTGGTCTCTCTCGAACATTGGATTGTTACATGTGTGAACACCGCAGTATTTTGTGATCCTAAAATACCCATTATGTTTCTTTCTGACAAATACATATAACTTCCAAGGACATTTGTAATCAGATTCATTCCCCTCTATCCGACCTTGCCTTTGTGTATTCATAAAACAGATTGCCTCATAACTTGTGCGGTTGCTTTTAATTTGATTGAATTTGACCAACTTTTTGATTGAGTAATCACGAATAGCATCAACCAATTGGTCTTTAGTCTCAAATAATTCACCAACTCTGAAAGGGACCTCCTCATCATCTCCTCTATTGGATGAACTTTCGCCAATGCGGATATCATGTACTGTGGAAGAACGAACCCACTCATCATCCTCAAACTCGTCGGGGGGTGGTTCTTCGTACTCCACATATTCATTATTAACATAAGCTTCATCTGGCCAATCCGGATTCTCTTCATCATCTTCACCCACAAATTGCATGTTGTCAAGTGGTGCACTATCTTCATCTTCACCATCAAAGGCGTCGCTTCTTTCATCCTCTTCATATGAAGGTGCACCACCCTTATATTGAAATTGAGTCCGCTGTATTTTACTCGAAGAAGAAAGAAAGCCTTCAGACTCAACTCCCAAATCTAACATGCGTGAGAATTCTCCTGGAGGGTTGAATATTCGGCCCGTACTATGTGGCACCGTTTCAATAAACAATTCTACCGTTGGTTGTGACTTGCTCAAATTAAACAAAATACTCATCGAATGATCGTTTGAGATCTCAACTGCGGACGTTCTATCATAAGTTATCGGCCAATTGCATATTATTTTTAACCGACAATCTCGTGGGTCAATAGTCGTAACTCCATACAATTCATTAACCAAGTCAAGGTAATTGTATGATTCTGATATCATTAACGGGATTGTCACCCCTCCGACGTAGATTAGCATATTATTCATTCCATACTTAATCGTTCCACCATAAGAGCAAACAATAAAAATCATATTGTTCAACCTATGCAAATCAAAATTATATCATTTAAATGCAAAAAATTTAAAAAATATTATCAATTAATACCCTAAAACCTAATTACAACCCTAAAACCCAATTACAACCGTAACCCCCCAAATCCTAAACCCTAAAATCGACCCCCAAATTCTAAACCCTAAAATTGAGTATTCTATGCCCCCAAATGTTTAATTTCAACTACAACAAGAATAAAATTTCTAAATAAACCACTACAAATAGAGTTCAAACACTATAAATTCGTTTTGGAGAGAAACCCCTAGATTTCTACGTGTCAAAAGAGGAGAGAAGGGAGAGAAAGTACCTGTTAGATCTTTCACGCTGAAATTCCGCACAAAACTTGAGGTTGAAAGCTGCGATCCGTGGCTCAAAGAGAGTTTGGGAGGAGAACGACGAAAATGAGAGAGAGAGGCGGCTGGAACCGAACATGAGTGAGAGAGTGAAGTCGTGACCTTTATATAGGTCGTGGGCCTAGTGAACAAATAGTCGGGGTTGTGAACCCCGACTATTGTCACTTAGCCGTTTTCACCGCTTGACGATTGGGCCAGAGGTCTCTGCCATATAGTCGGTTTTGGGAACCCCGATCATTTCGAAATAGGCTTTCTAAATGGTCGGGGTTACCAACCCTGACCAATTAGAGAGGGGCCTAAATTAGTCGGGGTTGGAAACCCCGACTATTTTAGCTTGTCCATAGCTAAATAGTCGGGGTTGCCAACCCCGACATAACTAAATAGTCAGGGTTAGCAACCCCGACTATTTAGCGACGTCACTTAAAAAAAAACGACCCATTTCGTGGCCACGTTGCTGACGTGGCACGAAATGAGTCGATTTTGCTAATAAAAACTTGAATGAGTCGAATTTTATAATAAAAAAATTAAATGGGTTTAAATCAAAAATTTGTTCTTTATTAATATATTGAAATCTTGAAAAAGTTAATCCATGAGTACCATTCATCTCTAGTGGAGTAAATACAGGTTCACAAGGTTAAGTACATGTTTGGCAACTTTAGATTATAACTCACTTGGATTATAATCCACAAATGGGTTCTAAGCCAAGTGGATTTTAAGTCAAAGTGTTTGGTAAATTTAGTGTATTATATTCCATATATAATAGTGAAGTGTTTGGCAAATGGGTGGCTTATAAGCCTTCATTGTTGCAAAAAATATTTAATGGGATTAGAGAAAGATAAATGGGGCTTGATAATTTTTGGAATGATGAGGAGTATATTAGTCTTTCACTCGGTCAAACCGTGTGGCTAATAAGCCACCAAAATATAAGCTATTCTTGCTTTATTTTTGTATAAACCAAAATAAGTCATTTGCCATACATGTTGACCACTTGTCAAACATGCTCTGAGTAATACTAGATAAACAGAAGAAAAGAGCTATGACAACTAAAAATTGGTTTTTTAGTTGTCCTCTCTTACCAATAGGGTATTTTTAAGAGCTCTTGTGTCAATAAAACCCTTTCTCTCGCCGGCGGCAAGAATATCAGCATGAATTGTACTATTTTTAAAAAACTTCTTTCACCCCCAACCTCTGAGAGAGCCATTTTAGAAGGTCATTTCCTATCAGGATTCACTATGGTGGATTTGGCTATAGACTGCTAGGTAGCTAATAAAAAAGTGACAGATAAAATATATGAGCCCAAGGGCTAGTGAATTTGGCTATAGACTGCTAGGTAGCTAATAAAAAAGTGACAAATAAAATATATCAGCCCAAGGGCTTGGTATCATGTGCTTACATGGCACTATAGTCTTAAGACAATTCATCAGTCAACCTTTCTTTACAAGATTGCCAACAACTTGAAGATATCATCCTTTTTCTTTCTACCATCATTCACCGTGTGGTGTATCCTGACAGGACATGACCTTTCCTGACAAGAAATGACCTTCTAAAATGGCTCCTTTCTTTTGTTTATTTGGTATTACTCAAAGCATGTCTGACAAATGGTCAACATGTATGACAAATGGCTTATTTTGGTTTATAGTCCAACAAAAATAAAGCTAGAGTATCTAGTTTATATTTTGGTGGCTTATTAGCCACAAGGTCTGAGCGAGTTAAAGACTAATAGACCCCTCATCATTCCAAAAATTATCAAGCCCCATTTATCTTTCTCCAATCCCATTAAATGTTTTTTGATTATTTTTACAACAACAAAGGCTTGTAAGCCACCCATTTGCCAAACACTTTAATATTATATATGGAATATAATCCACTAAATTTACCAAACACTTTGACTTATCCACATGGCTTACAATCCATTTGTGGATTATAAGACAAGTGAATTATAATCCAAAGTTGCCAAATATGTCCGTAACCTTATGAACATGTATTTACTCCACTAGAGGTGAATGATACTCATGGATTAACTTGTTCAAGATTTCAAGTTATTAATGAACCTCATAGAATTTGATCTTTTGGTAAGTACCAAACTGCCAATGACTTGTTCATTTAAGCAGTTGTAATTATCTTATTGTCGACGATACTCATCGTTGATATTTGTAAGTTGTGTCATGTCCCTTCTCATGTTCATTAAAATACAAACGATATAAAAGCAGAAGTTTTTTCACTAAAAAATAGCGATTTCATTTTATTTTCTTTCATTGACTTTCTCAACTAAGTTCCATAATTCTTGATGAATCTTATTTTCATCTTGAAGCTGAATGTTGTATGCCTACAAAACAACAATCACAACAAAGTCCTTATCCTAAATTTTTTGGGGTCTGCTACATGAATCACATTCTCTTGTTCAGTTCTGTTGTTCAGTTCTGTTTCATGGTCATTTTCTCCCTTAAGTTAATTACTATCAGATCCTTCTTAATTTTGTAAGTTCTCTTTAGATCATCTTTAATCTTCGCTCCATCAATTATAATCTTTACTTCCTATCCTAATTGGCACATTTTGTGGCCTCCATTGCATGTGACCAAACCATCTTAATTGGTTTTCTTGTACTATCTACAATATGAGCAACGTCTAACCTCTTATGCCTGCACCTATTTCTAATCCCATCTCATAGTATATCTCTAAGAGTCCATTGTAACATTCTCATTTTTGCTACTCTCGTTCTTCATTTCTTAATTGCCCAACAGAAATGATGTATCCATAATGAATGTCAATGACTTATTCATGTAAGTTGATTGTATTTTGTAGAAGGAATTTGTGTGTCATTTGTGTATCACCCTTACCATCTATACAGAAACATCAATTTTCATCTTTTCCATTTTTTGTTATTACTTTCGGTGACTTTCTCAACCATATTCCATTGATTTTTGGTGAGTGTTATTCATTTTGGATCTGAATATTGTACCCCCTATTTGCATAAATTCTAATTAGCTTTTATTTGTTAGCAGGAAACCTGAATTAGAAAACTTATGGAATCCAAATTTTTTCAGTTTCCCAAAATTGTGGGAGTTGTATTCAAAGCTAGAACCGAAGCAGAAAGCCATTGGCTTTTCCTGAAACTAGGTTACAGCCACGAAGTGGAGTTTGCTGTCCCTCCTGCTGTCTGAGTGTTTTGCTTCAAATCCAATTTAGTTTGTTGCACTGGATTAGATAAACACAAGGTGCACCAGTTTGTTGCTGTTGTTCGTAGCTGCAAGCCTCCCGAGGTCTACAAGGGCAAGGGTATAATGTACATTGATGAAGTTGTTAAAAAGAAGCAAGGGAAGAAATCAAAATGATGCTTAGGGGCTGTTTGGTTGTTGTTGGTAAAATTGTGCATTTATGACACAACTTGGAAAGTTGTTGTCCACCTCATCAATTTTACTTGTATACTTTTCTTTGTTTGTTTTTTATTCCATTGGAATCATAAATTGCTTGTTTGGTTTGCAAATGTAACATTAATTGTTTGTTTGGAAAGTGTAAAAAGTGGTCCCTACTCAAATGATCATATTGGTTGAAATTATTTTTAATTATTTTTTTCTAACTTCAATGTCAGCTTTCTCCTAAAATCATGTCTTTTTTTTATGAAATCACTTTACAAGCCACATCAGCATATGAAATCACTTTACACTATTTTCATAACTACAAACAAACAATTGAAAGTGATGAAAGATGACATTGGGACCCACTTTTTTACACTTTCCATCCTTTTACATGGTAAAAACATACAACCAAACAGCCCCTTATTGTCTATTGTTGATTTGTGCGAGCTTGTTTGTAGGAGGCTCTGTCTTCTGATGACAAGTTGTTTGTCTTGGGAAATGATGATAAGTTGTTACTTTCTCCAATGAAATGGTTTTAAGGGGCTGTTTGCTTTGCTTCTTTTGCCCCTGATTCCCTGCCTAAACTGACAACTCAAAACGCCCCTAAAAAGGACGTTCTGTCAGTTTTGGCAGGGAATCAGGGACAAAAGAAACCAACCAAACAGCCCCTAAGTGGGTTTGAGTCCCCTATATCATCCAAGTTGCTCATTTTCTTATTATGGATATCTATGCAAGCTGTTAGGTTTGAGTCCCCTATATTATCTTATTTGCTCATTTTCTTATTATGGATATCTACGTAAGCCTGTTGCTTTAGCATTTTCTGGGATGTGCATTTCATTGAGGAAGTCCTACGTTATGTTTATTTGTTCTTGGATGTTTCTAATAGGAGACAGACGGGTATATTCAATATCATGAAGGTCCAACTAGAAATTATGAAAAATTGTTTGCGCACCCATTTTAATGAAGTTCTTCACACTAGAAAAATGTTTACCATGTTTAGACTAGAGTAATGTTTATCATGTTTTTTTCCGCAGGTTTGTTTGTAAGAAGCTCAGTCTTTTGATGATGAGTAGTTACTTTCTTTGGTGAAATGGTTGGAAAAGGTAAAATGATTAGCATCAACGCTAGCTGCTGACTTTGAGTGCCCTTTATCATCTATTTGCTTATTTTCTTTCGTGGACCTCTCTTGCACTGAGCTCTTTTACTATTATCAGCCCTTTTTCTCAGAAGATGAACAGAAAAGGACCAAAATCCGGAGGATGGCTTCATGCGCCGTCAAATATAAACTCCTATGAAGTCAAATGCCAATGTTTCAGGCTTCAGCTTGATGATAACCGTTTGAAATGATTCCAGGCAGAGGAGCACATTAACTGATTTAATATGTAAATAGGAAAATATATTTTGATGTCCTCTAACATTAGAACTTGAAAATAGCAGTAAGCAGATGTCACATTCCCATATAAACAAAAACATCAAATTCTCAGGACAATGTTCATTAAACACGAATTTATGTAACCAGTGTTTTACAAGTTAAAAATATTCAGTCAAGTACATAAATCCGAGAAGCAATGTCCTGAACAAGCCAATCAAAACCTTCAAGTAAACCCTCGCCAGTGTATGCACTACAACCAACAAGTTTCCAATGCCTGGTTTTGTCTAGAGCCTCCAGATTTAGCACCTATAATGTAGAAAGAAAATTCACCAATAAAGTATTAGTTCCAAACAATATTTCGTATACAGTTTAAATTACAAAAATAGCGGTGTGATAAATAGGAGCTAAAGCAACACAAACTCATGCATTGTTGTTCAATTTGCTTAGACGATGATACGTTACAGAAATTTACAGACGGCCAGTTTACTGGTGCCAAAGACATTATGAATATATCCGATTAATATCATTCAAGTTAATGCTGTGTATATTCAAGCTGCATTCTCTTGGAAGAAAGGACAACTGTGAGATAATAAAATGGCTAAAGTACATGGCATTTTCCTAATCACTGTTAGGACAATACACATATATTATGACCACACCAGGAGTTACTTTTTATGGATGATGATGAAAGCTTTCCTGTTAAACATATATTATGACCATACCAGGAGTTACTTTTTATGGATGATGAAGAAAGCTTTCCACGGGAAATATGCACAGATGCAATACAATTCACCGTTATTTTATGGGCGAGGTACAAGCCTACAAGTAATATTCAGTATTTCTTTCACTCCAAAATGAAAACTATAAATAGATTACTAAGAAAACAGCGAAAATGTCCGGAAAATGTTCCTAGATTAGATGAGAGTATTAGGAAACTAGGGTAGTTAAGAAAGAAGAGTTGAAGGCCCTTGTGCTACTCCCAGAACAGATGTGCTCACTGCTCACTGCTTTTTTTTAATGGGACACAAGTCCCAGTGGGATATAACTTGAGCTTTTCCAAATAAAATTGGCTACGTATTTCTTACACAAGCACGCATATAAACTTAAAGCCATATGGTGAACCCTGACAAAATTTAGAAATTCACATTTGAATGAAAACCACAATGTCAAATAACAACAAATGTTCTCTAACCTTCAAGGAACTCTACAACCTTATAAATTTAACCATACTGTAAAAAGCCTCATTAAGCTCCAGCTTAAGCCCTAGCATTGCTATACAACTTATGGGCCACTTCAGGTCCCACTTCAAGATTTTAAAAGATCTTTTAACGTATCACTTCAAGTGACTCTTAAATTCAGCAGTCTAAATAACAATGGTTTGACAAATTAGCAATGTGATACAGCAGGGTCAGTGCATGAATGACAGTTATACATTTTTATGTTATGGCCCTTCATGCTTAAGAGTCATCTTCAACAGGAATTTGGAATTGACCTAGGTGAACTTGAGCATGGTTGAGAACAAATTGTAAGATCTGTACTGTTCTTTTGTGAAGCTTCCACATCTTCGAGTTGTATTTCATGTCTGAGGGGTTTTATGAGAAAATGCTTAGATTTGAAGTATTATTAGTTCATAGAATTCCCTGATGATGTGCAAAACTGAGCAACATATATGGTACTGGCATGCTCACAGATATATGTTGAACATTCATAGCATATGTACTGAAGAGACTGATGGTAGATTGGTAGCTATACATAGCCTCCGAGAAAAGATAAAGATCCTTAAACCCACTCTATACCGAACTTAAGAAATACTAAAAGAAAACGAGATAATTGTGAACAATAAAGGAATATTGACTCATGAACTTACTTTAGTTATCTCTGCTGGTGTGAGAGCCCCTTGTATATCCTGCTTATTTGCGAAGACCAACAAAGATGCTCCAGATAACCTCTGAAAATATAAGCAAGAAAAATGACATGATTAATTCAACTGTAAACACATATTTGCATTACTACCTACAGAAAAAAAAATCCAAACACTATAAGATATAACAGAGATCTGCAGAGTCATAATCAAGGGAGAAAACGTTAATGGACTACAGAACCATGTTTCCTGCCACCCTATAAGAAAGCAGTGCGTAGTTCTTCACAAGAATCTCTTGATTGAGAAAAACTCTAAAAGTGAAAGAAATGCATCCTACAACCTCCTACAACCATATTTTCAGGATCCTTATGGCAGTTGAACTGCAGTTTCTTAAAGAAATTACAGCACAAAATTTCATTATCATATTCACATCCAATATTCAGACAATTGTGGTATTTTGAATTGCTACTCATCTAAAAAAGGCACTTTCGTGAAAGTGTACGTTATTGTGTGTTTGCATGTATTTGTGGATCCTTTTGTCACTCCCTATATAAGATGATGACAACCACGAAGAAAACTCTGCTTTTCTTTTAAGAAAAGTCTCTGTATGTGACTTGCAAATTCACATGTGAAGTGGCAGGGTGTGAGACCCAAAATTTTAGTTTTCTTTTGATCTTAATAAAAATTCTTCCTTTCATCAAATGTCAACCATCCATCTACAATAAAACAAAAAACAAAAACCTAAGCCTAACATACTCAGCCACCACCCAATCACCAAATTATTTGTTGTTGTCACCGCTGACATCAATCAGGTGGAATCGAGTTGTTTGACAGTTCACCTGCAAGATCTACAACCATCTGCAAAGGAGACAACTAATTCAGACATTGATGTATACATTTAGGTGCTAATTTCTTCACACCTCAAGGTGAGTTCTCAACATCTCCTTGTCTTTTAACTGTCAAATTTTGCATCTATGTAAATTTGCATCACTCTTATAATTGGTTTGATTAATGCTATGACCTAGATTTTATTTGCATTATTATTTATTTCATCATCTAGATCACATAAGATATTGGCCTTTAGGATGCACGCAAATTAGTCATGTCTTGGACTGAATTCATCCATGTGTCCCAAGGTTTTAAATGTCGGTTATCAAGGATTTATCGGACGGTCAAAATCCTTATCGGATAGCGGAAATCGGGGATATATCAGGGATAAGTAGTAATTATCGGAGTAATATACTAGCAAATAATAAACAAACATAAGCTTGAAAAAAATATAATGTTAGTCAAAATGGAATAATAAACAAGCAAATAATAAGATAACATCAAGAATGAAGAACCATCTACGCATCTACATAATTATTGTTTAATCATGAGATTCATAAACTAACTTACTACGTTCATATTTAGTAGTTATGAGCCATTATCAATATCCATAAACAAACATAAGCTAATCACCAATCAACCAAGTTCCAAAAGCAACAAATAGTTCATATATTTGTAAACATTCAAAGAGCAAATCCAAAAAAAAGTAAAAGCTCCAAAATCCTACTTATCGGCCGATAAAGCCGATATTTAGAGCCTACTTATCGGCCGATAAGTGTCTTTATCGCCGATAACTTGCCGATAAACCTCAAAAAACAATAACCGATTAAAAATCCTACTTATCCTAGCGGAAAGCTCCCAAATCCGATAACTCGACGATAATATCGGATTATCGGCCGATATTTAAAACCATGATGTGTCCAGTGAATCCATATCTGCTTTAGTCATCCCAATGTACCTTATCCTGCATCATAAAGTTTGCCAAGACTTACATGAACCCAAAAGAATACATGACCATGTATCAAGAAGCTAATGATGTCAACAGGTTAGGTTTTAAAAATAAAAAAAGGGGCTTAGCATGATAAAGTTGAAGTGAACTGAGAGAAAAGGGAGGCTATGAAGAAAGCTTTAAGAATGCCTCAGAACTTGTTCTTGCTAATACAATTTAATATGCAGAAAATAAAAGAGGCAAGGCATCGAAGGAATGGCTTCTATTTCTATAGTTCAAATTAACTATAGAGTATTTATGTACAGGTATTTGACTGTAATCCACAATATTAAAACTGTCTATCAGCAAAAAATAAATAAATAAATAAGTAAAGAGATAAAAAAATAAAAATAAAAATTAAATTTTGCGAGTGAATTAAGTGACAGCCTACACTTTAAGATAACATTCTAACTAACAAGAAAACAGCATAGCATCACAAATGAAAGTTAGCTAAGCAAATTACAAACACTATAAGGAATTTATTCTTTCAAAAGAGAAATTGAATTAGAAACCTCTTCTTTAAGGAGATTCTCAAGCTCCATTCTGCAATCTTCAAGCCTCCGAACATCAGAGCTATCAACAACCCAAACTAATCCATCAGTCTGCTCAAAGTAATTCCTCCAGTATGATCTAATGGTCTTCTGCCCACCAACATCCCATATGTTCAATGAATACCTACATAAATTTTCCAAATTCTACACAAAAATCAATAAAATTGCACCAAAATATTCAAACTCGCAACCAGATCTCCAATAGCAAAATCACAAGTCACGCAATTTTTTTTATTAAAGACACAAGATCAGAAAAATTAACAAAATGGCAGCATAAATCGACTGAGATCCTAAATGAACCAAAAGTTGAAAATTTGAGAGGGAATTCATGAACAAGATTTGATTTTTAAGAGTGGGTAGGTATTAATTACTTTTGGTACTTGATGGTTTTGATGTTGAATCCGAGGGTCGGGCTGATGATGCTGGTGTCCTCACCATTGATTCTGAGAACTATCGTCGTCTTCCCCGAGTTATCGAGCCCCCTGCCCACATTTTTGAATAACATAACAAAATTGGGTAATTGAAGAGGATAAGAGAATGAGAGATCCGAGGCGAGAGAGAGACTTACACCATTAGGATTCGCATCTCCTTCTCCTTCCTCTTTATTTTCCTTATGATGCTCAGAAGTCCCATGATCGCTGATATGAGAGGGAGAGAGTTGAGGTCTGAGCTCGCTGCCAAATATGGGTTTTTTCTCTGCGTGCTAACAAGGTAAACGTATAAATTTACACTTTTGCTGTTGCATCTTCTAAAGATTTGCAATTTGGTTTTTTTTTTTTCCTTTTCCTTAACAATTGGCGCAAAAATTAAATGGCTTTCCCCCCTAAATAGGCCCTCTCCCTTCTTACAATCTGATTTTAATTAGTCCTTTGCAAATTTTATTTCTTTTCTTAATTAGTGAGTTTTCTCTCCTCTCTATCACGACCTCAATTTTTGAACCTAGAAGGACTATTGGAGCCGGACTAAACCTGTGAAAAGTCCTCCAAAAATATATATTCATCAAAAGACCATCAAAATGATATCTTCATTGAACTAAAACCAACAATAAATATTCTCTATAATCTAAAATTCAACATTAATCCAATTAACTTGATATAAAAAAATATTCATCAACTTGAAATAAAACTCGACCTAAAGGTAAGATTCTCATTATAACAAAATTCTTTCTAATAATTTATTCAACCTTCACCTAGAAGAAGAGTAGCAATCTGTAAATTTTATTCCTCGCTCCCTCCTAATAATTTAGGAACCACCAACTCCACATAATCCCGAGTCTCTGAAAAGAATGAATATAACACAATGAGTTCACAACTCAATAAGTAGATAAATTCATACATTAAGCACGGGTTTTGCAAACCTAAATAATTTGACTTGATAAGCAAAGCATTACAATAGTAGAAAATCTTTCCAAAAAGCAATGAGAAGAGGAGAAAAGATAAGCTCTAGATAAACAATAAAAGAATAGAATTAGGTAGAGTCCAGTTAAAAGAGAATCTCTCGGGAGTTACTTGAAAGAATTAAAAGTTTTGGGGGTTATTTGAGATACATTGGAGTTGCGAGATTTTGTGCGAGAAGTTTAAAAGGTTTAGTGGAAAAACAAAGTTCGGGGTTTGTTGGAAACAGGATTGAACAAGGGGCTTGGGGGATGCTAGTGGTATTACTACTGCCTCCCCAAACTACCTGCGCTACTTGTGATGGATAGTGACTATTAGGAATTGGTGCTTATGTAATAATGTAAATGTGTTCTTTTTACCGGTCAATAATTTGTTTTGACCATATTTTTGATAATGTGAAGCTTGCTACCTTTCATCATTACTATTCTATTTTACGACCAAATTATCCCGCATATAACATGGCATTATTATGAACAAAAACAAAAAAATAGTGTATCAAGCATTTGTTTGGAAAGCTCTTTTTAATTTGTTTGAAACACACAAACCGATTAGCTTTTTAAGGTATCACTAAAGATGATTGCTATATGATTGTTTGCTTTTTGATAAATATGGCCATAGAGTCGTTAGTGTTAGAATGGGGTGTAGATCAAACCTCATTTCTGATGAGGAGCTCCGACGAAGCTCCGACGAGCTCGAGGATGACGCAGGCGAGCGTGGCGATTTCGACGACGAACGCGACCCTCGTTTGGGGCGAACGCGACCCTCGAACAGGCGAAGCTGCAGGTGAGCGTGGGTGACGACCCCCGCGTTCAGCACTCCGAACCCCGCGTTCAGCAACCCCGCCAGCCCTCCACCTCCGCCTATAAAAGGGACCCCATGCCCTAGGGTTTCGCTGCTGAGCCTTCCCCCTCTCTCCGATTTGTTCTTTCCTGGCGGCGGCTGATTTTTCCCCTTTCCGTTCTTCGTTCCCTCTTTTCTCCAGCGCTCAGAATTTTGGGATTTTTGAGGGGAGATTAAAAAGAGGATTTAAGAGGAGAGAGAGATCATTAGAGTTTAAAAGAGGGGTTTTATATTGTGGGGTTATTCATTTATTCTCAAGTGAGAATTGAAAGGGTTTATTCCCTTTGATTATTAACAATGTAGCTATAGTGTTCATTTGAGAGATCTCATATTTGATCTGCTCTTAAATTGTAATTTCTTGTTTGATTAATAAGAAATTTATTGTGTGGCTCCCGAGGACGTAGGCAGTTGCCGAACCTCGTAAATCTTGTGTACTTTTTTTTATTCTGTGTTTCCGTTGCATTAGGGATTTAGGCGTTAAATTCCCAACAACTGGTATTAGAGTATAAAACAATCTAGAGGAAATCAGATTTAAGTGGGAGCCATGACCGCAGATGAAGGGAAGATAAGACTTGAGAAGTTTGATGGAACAGATTTTGGATTCTGGAAAATACAGATAGAGGATTATCTATATCAGAAAAATCTGTATCAACCACTATCGGGGAAGAAGCCGGATTCCATGAAGGAAGAAGAGTGGAACCTTCTAGATAGACAAGCCCTCGGAGTTATCAGATTGACGTTGACTAGCAATGTTGCGTTCAACATAGCGAAGGAGAAGACCACGACAGGTCTTATGGCAGCACTCTCAAACATGTATGAGAAGCCATCAGCCACGAACAAAGTTCATTTGATGCGGCGGTTATTCAATCTGAAAATGGCGGAAGGCGCGTCAGTAGCACAACACCTCAATGAACTTAATACGGTTACAACCCAATTGAGTTCAGTTGAGATTGAGTTTGATGATGAAGTTCGGGCGTTGATACTTTTGTCTTTCCTACCAGAGAGTTGGAACGCTACAGTCACAGCTGTGAGTAGATCGTCGGGAAAGAAAAAGTTGAAGTTCAGCGACGTTCGTGATTTGGTTCTCAACGAGGAGATCCGACGGAGAGAGACGGGTGAAGCTACAACCTCTTCAGTATTGCATACAGAGTCAAGAGGTAGAAATTCAACCAGAGGAAACGGACGAGGAAAATCAAACTACAGAGGTAGATCAAAGGACAGGAGGTCCAAATCAAGGAATCCAAGCAACAGCTCGAAGGCTATCGAGTGTTGGAATTGTGGAAAGACCGGGCATTACAAGAATCAGTGCAAGAGTGCACAGAAGGAGAAGGAAAAGCGAAGGCAGAGGTGAATGTCACTTCCACCTCAGGAGGAGACGACGCATTGATATGCTCTTTGGAGAGCAAGGAGGGATCTTGGGTGTTAGATTCAGGAGCGTCGTTCCATGCTACCTCTCAGAAAGAATTCTTCGAGAAGTATACCCCCGGAAATCTTGGATACGTATATCTTGGTGATGATCAACCATGTGCTATTGTGGGCAAAGGCGTGGTGAAAATTAAGTTGAACGGGTCAGTATAGGAGCTAAAGGATGTCAGGCATATTCCCGACCTGAGAAAGAATTTAATATCCGTAGGTCAATTGGCTGGCGAAGGATACACCACGACCTTCCATGGAGATGATTGGAAGATCTCAAAGGGCGCAATGACGATTGCCCGAGGCAGGAAGACTGGTACCCTTGTTTTCAGTAAAAGTTGGTTTTGTTGAGGAATTCATTACAACAAATTCAAAGGAATAGTCTTTTTATAAGACCTTTTCTACACAACAAAGCAAAAATTATAACTTTTGAGAAAATAACACAAAAATCGTCTATCGATTCTTGTTTTTGTGGGACTTTGCCTGTGCCGGGAACGCTTTGGTTCGTGGACCGCCGAATCACAGATCGTGAAAGGGGTTTACTGATTCTGACTTCGTTTATCGAAGTGAGAACTTGAAACGATATCTTATCAAAGTAAGATAGTCGTTCTTCTTAAAATCAAGTCAAAGCTCAATTTCAAGGGAATCACACCAAGAACTCAAGTCTGCTCTCTCTGCTCTGAATTGCTCAAAAATATGCTCGATAATATGCTCGATCCTCATCAGAAATGACCCTAGGGGGGGTATTTATAGCCTCTGGAGTCTGTAACTGCAAAAAACTCAACAAAACCGAGAAATTAGGCCGCGAGACAGTGTTTACTGTCTCGGCGGGCGAGACAGTGTTTGCTGTCTCGGAAAATATTCCTGACAGGTTTTTCGTGTTGAACTGCCTTCCCACGTTTAAACTCGTCTATTTGGCGGTTATTCACGTGATTTTGTCGCCCGACGTAGTTGTTCTCCACGTTTTGGCAGTTAATGCCGACACGTGCGGGTGGTGAGATTATTTAAGTGCGTTTCTGGTCGGTTTTGTCAACACTGTCTCTGCTTGGCGATGCGCCGGCCAGCAAACACTGTCTCGGCATGGCTGAGACAGCAATCACTGCTCGGCTGGCGAGACAGGCATACACTGGTCTCGCTGCAGAGACAAAACTGTCTTCCCTTGGCGAGACAGTAAACACTGTCTCGCTGGCGAGACAGTTCATATCTGTCTTGATTTTTCTCTTAAGACAGTATGAGGTGATTTTTGATGATCTTCTCTATGTTTGGATATCTATTAGTATTTTTTAACGCCTACAGATACCCCCTCCAAAGTATTCCAGACGTATTCTTTTATAGAAGAGTCTGGGATACTTTGGATAAGATAGATTTTACTTACGATCCCTTCAATGCTTGGTTGAGTAGATCGTGTTGAAGAATCTGTAAAATAGCTTCGGCTCTTGATCTCTTCATCCATTAGTCTATTCAGTTCTTTGTAGAATAGCTAATACTTCTCCGGCACTGCGTTTATCGCTCGACCGTTGTTGAGATCTTAAATTGAAGCTGGTATTTCCAGATTGATGTTTGTTTGTCTCTCGAAAGTTCATTAGGTTATCCTTAAGAATATCAAGAGTAATATTCTCCAGAAACTTCCCGTCGAATGTAGGAAAACAGTTTAGACTCGTGTACCCATTGGAGTATTCATGTGTGTCGAAACAGCACATCAAAATGATCGTTGCCATTTCATAATATGAGACAGCTCATACTGTCTCGCGGTGCGAGACAGTATATGCTGTTTTTACTGTCTCGCACGGCGAGACAGTGAAGTCTGTCTCGCTTCGGCGAGTCGGGGTTATAAAACCCCGACTTAGGGTTTTTCAGAGGCTTTTTCACGTTGATTTTTTGGCGATCTTTAGGCGATTTCTTCAGCAATTTTGGGTGATTTTCGACCAGGTCTCTGCCTTCTCTTCTCCTCTTTGTTTCTGATTTGGGTAGAGCTCTGTTTGGATGAATTTCATTTGGAGTTTGGAGGTCTGTTCTCCTTTTCTTCTCTCACAATTTTGATTTTCTTCAATTTTCCCTCATGCATGCACTGTTT